TGTACCGGGACGGAATAACAGTCTGTATACATCGAGGACGTAAGAGGACCTGAACGGTTTAGTATTTCAGACTGCCGTCAGGTCTCGGTTCAGACAGGGCGCACTTCTGCCGTCTTCCCCGAACATAACGCATATGCGTTGTATTCAAGTTTTGGGGAAAACAAAAAGATGATCCGAATATAATGCATATGCGTTGTATTTCGAACATAACGGGCTGTTCAAATAGAACACGTGTGCGTTGTATTCGTATACAAAGTATCCTATCCGTTGTTATTCATCACAACGCATATGCGTTATGTTTGGGGGAAGACGGTAGCCCGAACACAAAAGGCACAGTGCAGAAAAAGTAGAGGCATCTTTGGGGACATCCGTTAAAATTGGAACGATACAGAGAAGATTAGCATGGCCCCTGCGCATTAAAAAAAAAAAAAAGTGGAGGCCGAAACCACAGGTCATCTTGGGGACAACCCAGAGGGAGATCAGAGCTAAAGACAAGCAACGCAAGGACAAAAAGAAAGGAAAGAATATGATACGTGAGCTGGATGGGGGGGGGAAGGGGAAACAACAGGAAATTAATCAGCCGTCTAGGCTACCAGCCGGGCCGCCCAGGTCCCGGGTGGCCAGCCCATGCAAGGACCAGGGAAGGTCCCAGCAAAAAAAAAAAAAAAAAAAAAAAAAAAAAAACCGAAAAAAAACTATGTTATGCAGAAAAATAAACTGAACAACTTTTTTTTTTTTTTTTTAATAGAAGATCAGTCTTTATTTATATCAAAGACGGGAAACGGGCCCGGCGTCCCTTGCAAAAAAAGTCGCCGCAGCCCTGAGCTGAGCGAGGCTCTCCGGCCAGGCAAAGCTCATGCCACGACAGTGTCAGGGACAGAAACCTTCTTCTCTTCATCTCTTCCACCAATTATACAAAATATTCTAATATCAACGGCAGCTGTGTACAGCAATTAACCGTATCCTAATATCCTGTATTCGTCTAAGTTCTCCTCCCATCAAAAGTTTTGGACACTCCTACAAGTCTACAATTGTACAAGTCTACAAACCTGTGTGTTTGATCACAGAAAGAACCCCGAGAAAAGCAGAGAAGGGGGTCTACCCGGGAGGCACTCTACTGATGCGAGTCCTGCAAAAGCACTCCATCGTGTAGTGAAGAACTGCATTGCCTTTCTTGTAAACCCTTTCCGCTCTACTTTGTGCTCCCAGTCAGCCTGTATCGTTTGTTTAATGCCATATTTGACCTCTGCTCGGATCATTGGCGGCGTCAGCCTGTCTCCATGGCTGGTTGCTGACTTCCTCAGTATCCGAAGGGTCCACAGTATTGCACCCCTGAGCGTCTCTTCCGCGTATTTGTAACGTTGTGGGAAGGGTGCTCGCCTTGCTGCAGTTCCCATTAATATGAAATGGTCTGTCCATCTGGATCTGTTTCCAGGGACAGGGATCTTCGAATGCCTCCACCAGTCCCAGAAAGGCCGAGCAATGTCACAATGTAGCGCGAAGTGTTGCAGGTCTTCCATTCGAGTCCCGGGCCATATCAGGCATTCCGCCTGTGCCTTAACAGTGCGATTTGCACACCAAACCGCCACTGGGACTGCTTGGTGCATCATAAGCCAGAGGAAGCTAGCATGTTTAACGACGACCAGGTCCATCAGATTCACCCAGAATCTGGGTAACACTTCCAACAATCTTGTCAGCGAGTCTTGGATCCAACCTGTTGCCAACC